CTTTAGGTCAATAGATGCTTTGTCAGACAAGACTGCACCAAGGTCAATGAGGGAGTTGATCACCAATGTGACCATGTCTTATGACCAACTCACAGCCCATACCTTAAATAATGTTTTCCTTACCTATCAGGAGGTAATGGGTGAGGTCCTTAAGCAGAAAGGGGGAAATGACTATAAAATACCACATATGGGCAAAGAAAGGTTAGCCAGGCAAGGAATGCTGCCTGAGAACATACATGTGGATGCTCAAGTCTATGAAGATGATGTCCAGTTCTCAGAAAGCAACACTTAAGGGCCAAAGGACAGTACTTTTGTGTAACTCTTTTTTTGGTTTGTACTTGTACACACAACAACACACTTTTTTTTGCTTTTTGGTAGTGTTTAGTAATAGTGTGCAGGCTTGTGTAATGATGTGGTACTAGATCCTCAATGTAAAATATTAAGCTGGGACTGAATATCAATCATAGGCAGATAAAATGCCTCAAAACTCAACTTTGTTCTACAATCATAGGCATATAAAGGGGCAGGCATGTCTAGGGACTTAAACCATGGTTGGGCTGCCTCAGAAATTCATTTAGAAGTTCAATCATAAGCATTTAGGCACTCAACATCATAGGGGTGGCAAAGACATATTCCAAATTGAGCACAGTAAGCCTCCAAACCTATAGGGGTGGCTTTACAGTGAAGCAATTCTCCCATAATTCAGAAAGACTAAGGTTTGCATCATTAGTTTGCCCAAAAAATATGCAATGAAGTCAAGAAGCAAGAAATTTTACTTTAAGAAGACAACACTGCATAAACAACAGGGGCTTTAACCCTTCGTAATTTTTCCCCAAAATCAGAACATGGAGGGTTTACAGAAACAGAGGCAATACAAAATTCATAAAGAACAGAGGATTGAAGCACTTTACTCTGTTCAACTTGCATGAGCTTCATTGGACTTCCAACGGGTTTGGCAAAGAAAATTTCCGTATCAGAGGTCATTCCTCCAATCTCTTCGATGGTGAATGAATCAACCTCTGAATCCCCTGATTCCCCTTCGTCTAGATCTGAATTCCACTCAACGCCCTCCGGAAGATGACCACCCCCAAGGTATTTCTTCCGGTAGTTCCAAGACGGATCGGTGTCAGAAGAATCAGATGCATCAGGGTTGTAGCCTGGAAAACATACCCTCTTGCGCTTAGGAGGTCGAACATCTTCATCGCTTTCACTTAGAAGACGAAAGGAAGACATATCCCAGTCCAGATCTGGAGAAGGAGGGGATGAGGCCATGGAAAATTTGATCAGCGTAGGTGAGGATAGGGTTTAGGGAAGAGAGAGAGACGATGTGTGTCAGTAAAGGGCTGGGTATGGGTGGGATGGTAGTCTTTTAGGGCTGGGGGTATTTTGGGGAAAAAGTGTGGAATGGAAGTGTTTTGTGGAAAACAAAAAAATCGAAAGAGGAAGTGTTTAATGGAACGGAGGGAGTATTTATTTAAAAAATATACATGAAACTTTTTATTTGGATACTTTCGAAAAATATTTGGTAAATAAAAGTACTCTTTGTTTTATAGAACTTATAGTATACACTCTACATGCCTATAAAACTTTTATTTTTACACTATTAATGAAATAAATTATTAAAAATGAATTCAGTCGAATATCATAAACTGTATATTGAAATTTATTTACGAATGAGAAATTGTGGAAAACGTCTTCTGTAAAACATGAAAATCACTTCTCTTTAAATAAGACTCATTATCCGTTTTCTTTGGATATCATGGTCTGCTAATTCTTATTTTACAAAATAGCGAATACCAGAAAAATGAGAAAATGACTTCCGAAAATCATTTCCTCACTCACCCTATAAATTCAATTGAAAGAGACACCAATGGAAATTCTTAAAACAAATAATGAGCATATATATAGCTGTCATGATATATATTATTGGATATGATATGATCCCTGATCATCATTATCATTAATTAATATTGTCCAGTTAATATAATCTAGCTATCACATAATCACGTCACTAGCTATACATATATATATGATCCCTGGAATATTTTGGACTGTCAAGCCTATATATGTAGACGTTGCTAATTAATTAATGGCTTTGTCAATGTTAATTTGTTGACAAATTCATACACAATCTTAGCTTAACATGCATACCACCAAACCATTTTATCATAACATCAGTCGCATTAATTAATCATGTCACAATTTAGTCGAGTGTTTCCTTTGATACATAATGATTATTGTGTTTCTTATCATTTAAATCATATTTTTAGTTACAATGAATTTGTTTAATAATGACAGACTAGATATAACTAATTATATATACTGAAATATATGATTGTGTGTAGACCTGGCAAAACAGAACCGGAACCAATTATCCGAACCGAAATATCCGAAACCGAAACCGGAATGACCCGAAAAATGAAGATCCGATCTATAACCGAAAACCCGAAATGATCTGAATCGAACCGAAACCGAACTAAATAATTCATATCCGATTTAAATCCGAAACCGATTAGATGCGAAACCGATAATATCCGAACCCATTAAACCCGAAACCGATTAGATCCGAACCCGATAATACCCGAAACCGATAAAATCCGAAATCGATTAGATCTGAAACGATAATATCCGAACCCGATTAGAACTAAAATCGATAAATTTAAAACTATGTTTGCCTTTAAATAAACATATTATATTTTTAAATTTTTTACTTTTATTTTACCATTTGAACTAATTACATTACTTGCTCATTCCCTCATAAAATAGATTATCTTCTTGAAAACAATACAAAATTTTATGCCTTAAATTTATTATATGTAGAAAGTAAAGATAAGTTATACATATAAATGATAACACACAAACAAATAAAATTTTTGTAATTTTTAAATAGTGAAATGTGATATTCTTTTTGGAACGAAAGGAATATATGATGAATTGTATGGGATAACTACATTTTATCCTAATTTCATCTCATTACAATAAATTTTATTGATTTGAGAGTTATTTTGATTAGTTTTAAACCAATTCACTCAATATTAGTCAATAAAATTAGATACTATTGTTAGCATTTTGAAAAGACTCTCTAGCGGCAGCTTTTACTGTTATCATTTTCAAATTTTATTTACACTATTACATTTAGGTGTAAAATTAATTATATTTGACTCTGTTCAGTTTAATTTTCTCTATTTTCAACCAAATATACTCAACAATTTACAAATTTTGCACTCAATTGAATAAAATTCACTTAATTTCACCCAATTTTACTCAATTTTTACCAAATTGTATTCAAATGGAACATAAGACTATTTAAATTTATTTTTTATCCTTTCATTTATATACATAAGTATATTAGTAGATGTGAGAAAGATTTGATATTTCAAAACTAAATTTTAAAATCAATTTAATTATATTAAATTTATATCATAATTAAATATATATGTTTTCATAATTCGTAGTCCAAATTTGTAAAATATGACTAAAAAGTTAAAAAGGAAAAATTATTTAGGGTAGAGATAATATAACTAGAAAAAAATATAAAATAATATGAGGTATTGAATTGATGATAGATTGATAAATGTGATAAAACATAAAATGAAACACGGATAGTTAAATTTTAAATAGAAAATAATATATATCCAAAATATATTTGATCTGTGTTAGAGTGCATCCCACATCGGAAGTCCAAGAGTAAAATAATCTGGTATATAAGCTCTTGAGTTAAACTAATTAATCGATTGGATTCAATCTTTTAATGTGGTTCAGCCCAAGTGTCTTATAGCCTAATCCAGTTTTCCACACCTATCCCAAATTCTATCATGGTATCGGAGCAGGTTTTGGCCCACCTCGTTTGTCAAGGTGTCCGTCTAAACGTTCATTCCTAGCGGCCCGTTAGTCTTTAGCCTAGTTGTCCGTATGGAGTATGTATCCAACGGCCTGTGGCCCGTTAACACGATTGCTCGTCTGGAAGTCCATACCCAGCGGCTCGTGGTCCTTTAGGTGTTGGCGCTCAAAAAAATATATTAAGGGAATGGGAGTTCATTTGCAAGTGGTCAACCGGTTAGATTCAAAATGACCCGGTTGTCTACTTGAGGGGGAGTGTTAGAGTGCATCCCACATCGGAAGTCCAAGAGTAAAATAATCTGGTATATAAGCTCTTGAGTTAAACTAATTAATCGATTGGATTCAATCTTTTAATGTGGTTCAGCCCAAGTGCCTTATAACCTAATCCAGTTTTCCACACCTATCCCAAATTCTATCAATCTGAAACCAAAATATATCCGAACCGAACTAGACCCGAAACCAAAATATATCCGACTCAAATTGTATCCGAATCGAAATCTATCCGAACCGATTTATAACCGAACCGTATCTGAACCGACTCGAAACCGAACCGAATCGAAAAATGTATAGAACCGAAAATAAATCCGAACCGAAATTTAACCGATCCGAACCGAACCGATTATAACATATAACCAAAGATATCCGAACCGAAAAAATCCAACCCGAAACCGATCTGGTTGATCCGATTGCCACCTCTAATTGTGTGTATAATATACAATACCACGTCTTTTTGTTTTACAACAACAACAACCCAGTTAAATCTCATAAGAGTAAGGTCTGGAGAGGGTGTGTGTACGCAGACCTTACCCCTACTCGAAAGTAGAGAGGCTGTTTCCAAAGAGACCCCCGGCTCAACGTCGTAAGTTGCATTGCTTGACTAACTGCTACTTCATTAATTAAAGAAGCGCAGACAGTTTAGAGATCCATTTTGATTTATTCCATCACACCCCATCAGCGCAGACAATTTAGTATTTATATATTGTATTTGTACAATTATACCCACAAACATGAGAATTTTTCAAGTCTTAAATATTTGGGGTCCTGCCTAGAACCACTTCTAATCGCTACATCTGTCATCACAATTGCAGTGCTATATAAAAAAACACCATAAGTTCATGAAAATAAAACATAATAACAAAAAATTAACTTGTGCTTGCAATCTTTAATGAACAATGAGATGAATTCTCAAAAATGGTTCAATGCTTAATGGATTTTTAAGAATGAAAATATCGTTGATAAATAATACGGTGACAAAAAAATTATCTTGTACGAGTAGTAAATTTGTTAATTTCTAACGACAAGTGTTATGGGGCTTGACCACCGGCATCATTGTGTCCGTCACGGCGTGACGGAGGCATGATGCATGGGGCTAGATGGCCACCACAGGCGTTGCCGGCCAAATTTTTGAGGAAATAGCCATTTGACTGCTCTCTTTTTTAAATTCGAAAATAGTCATCGTTATGTCCAAAAAAATCTATAAATTGAGAGATGAATGGGTACCTACTCCCAAAAATCAACTACATATTCCAAAGAAAAAAAAAATAAATTTGGATGAAGAAAACAGTCACTTCTCGTCTTCTGACGACGACGATTCAATATGTTTCTGCATTGCGTTGAATCTACGGTAAGCACTATCATGGCTCTTTCTAATGAAAGTTCTTCCCAAGAGATTACGCATCGGAGAAGGATCAACCGCGATCATGGGGCTACAAATTAAACCAACATACACCTTATTGAAGATTACTTTTCAGAAACTCTAGTTTATAACGACAATCAATTTAAACGTCGTTTTTAGATGAGTTGCAATTTATTAATTCTATTGTCATCAAGATGGAGAATCATTCTCCCTTTTTCAACAACGGATAGATGCTATGGGAGAAAATGGATTAACTTCACTGCAGAAGTGCACAAGCGCTATTCGGCAACTCGCATACGGCACGACAAGCGATTCATGGGACGAGTATTTGAAGATGTCAGACAAAATTTCTCATGATAATCTCTATCATTTTTCTAAAGGTAATTTTTTAACTCAAACATATAGTCACCTTTCCGAAATGGGTATCTTAAAACACTTCAAAAGGATTTATGTACATTTTTAGTTTAATATATCATACTTTTAATTAGTTTAATATATTATGTACATGACGTACATTTATTTATAGGCATCACCAATCTATAGGTGTAGGAAAATTGCCCTAAGGCTTGGCGAAGGTCACATCAACAAAGTGATCACCCAAGTCCAACAGTAATGCTCAGAGGATGAGAAAAGATTGTATTTCAACATCGTGAAATCTTTATTCAAACCCAGTGTTTTCATAGAGTCACAAGTTAAAAATGAGTGAAACTAAAATTTGTCATGTCTACATTAAGACGTTGAGAAAGCATCGCACGATAAGAAAAATAGAAATCGCCCTAAATAGAACTAAAACATAGAAAAAAAATACCAAAATAAGACTTTCATATTTTTTTCTCGAAATATGACTTCATACTGTGGTAATGTGGTTGTAATGTGGCATTGTACATATACACATTACTACACTTTTTGGTAATGTACATAACCATGTTTGGTAATGTAAATGCATTTTTAGTCCTATTTCGGGAATAAAAACATGAAAGTCCTATTTTGATAAATTTTCAATGTTTTAGCCCTACTTTGGTCTTTCTCCCTAAGAAAAAATTGTTTACCAAGGTTGGGTGGTGGCACCATGTGATTTACTCTCAAGTGAGATCATAAACCAGATTTACCTAAGAGTAGAAGCTGCAGTAAAAAAACAAAGTCAATAATGAAAATCGCATTTCCTTAACCCACCCACCTAATTCTACAAACCACATTACATTCACGCCCTATGGTCTACGATTCCTATAAATTGTCAATTAGCTTCACAATCTTATACTCATAATATTGCATCTTCATTTGAGCTTTACAGTTTAACAGGAGGAGGAGAACTTGGAAGGACAATAAAATGGTTGATTCCAGCATCTAAAATAAAATCGTACCGTGAATTGATCAGTCAACGACGCGAAGAGAAAGGACGCATTTATGCCTAATTTGTTCGTTTCCTTTTTTTTTCAATTTACACTTTTCTGATTCTGGTGAATTTATGTCTGATATTTTTTTATGAACGAAAAAAAATGTTGGTTCTTCGCTTTTTGTTGCTGCTTTTGCTGTTATGAGACCTGTGAAGACTGTTTGGAATGCCTCTGCTGCACTTGAGTTACTATTGATCTTACGTAAATAAAGGGAAGCGATAATCTTGTCGTGTTACATTTTAATTACTCTTTAGTTTATATCTTATGAAAAATAAAAGTTGAAGAATATATTTTCTGAATTGCTAAACACTTGATATATAAGTTCTTCCATTCCATAATACAATCTTTGTTTCTTAGTAGCTAGCACCTTAATCCCGACTAGTTGAACATGTTGGCATGAAAAATGGGTTCAATTAATTGTCTAAAACTCGTCAACGCTATGAATTCTTACAAAAAAAGAGTAAAGAATAATGCGATGAAATTCTAATACCGTCAATCAGCATTAGTTAAAGGAGTGTTGTGGTTGACCTTGTAATCTTTACAGGTTTCCTCTGGCAATCTAAAACTTAAACAAACCATTGCCTGCACATAATGATAGTAATGTTACTCTAAAACTGACATACTGTTTTTTTAAAAATTACGTAGTAGTTAGTAATGGGGTGGTGCGGATTAGTACCTTGTTTGGAGCAACATCTCTAACCCGGTGAAGTTTTGGGTCTGGTATACTAGCATTCAAGGCAGTTTCTGCTTCCTGCAAATGAGGAAAAAAAGAGAAACAAACGGGACCTAGTTTTAAAAACCATGTGTTATACTTGCATCAAGTGTAGGGAATCCACTCCCTCGTCTCCAAAAACAAGAAAAAACAAAGCAGCTTCTTTGTAACAAAGAACTCCGAAATAGAAGCACAATGAAACTTACTGAAATTATATATTCTGTCGTCTCTGTTGAGCGCATGAAACAATAACAATGAATCCAAGGTAAAGAGCCCTTCCAATGTTTCCTTTCTATTAGGCCTCTAAACGCATCTGTTGGAGAAATTTGATCAAGAAATAATTTTCGCACACAAATAATATAATGGTACGTTTGGGAACATGGATTTAGATTTCAAATTCGGATTTTGCTCAAATTCCATGTTTGGGAAACTTAAAAATTTTGGATTTGGATTTGAGTCAAATTCTTCTCATTCATAACAAATCTCAATTTGAAATACATGCACCTCCCCTTGTCATTTGAAATTCCAGATTTCAAATTTTGGAATTGAAATGCATGAATAGAAATGAAATGCTAGTTGCCAAACATTACCTAAGTGAAATCAAGAAGTGCAAAATTCCAAGAGTGAAAAAATAAATAAAGCAGATTACCAAGAAATTGCAGTGCAGAGGCTGGCAAGTTCATGATAACATGATCCACATGCTCCCATGGATTTGTGTCAAATTGATCCAAAATTCTAATCCTCTTATTTGTCCCTCTCTTTCCTGTACGAACCAGAGGACTGCTATCTTCAACGGTATCATTTCCTTCAAAATGCAAAGAATTGAGCCATTTATATTTAGTAAGCATTGCAAAGGGAAATGGAATTAACAGGGGATGCAAGAGTCATTATGAGTATTGACAATGTTTTAGGCTTCTAGCTTCGAGAAAATATTGGACTAAATATAAATGACACATTAAATTTTCATTGCTTCTTACTTCATATGAAGTTTTGGGTAGTAACTGCATCAAAGCAACAAGGGTGTAATGGATACAACCTCCATTTTTTTAGAGGGGTAAGATTGTGTATATCTTGATCATCCAACAAAGTTGGAAATATAAGAATTAACTTATATTTCCCTTTACTTAACCATAGTAATAGTATACAACTACCTTGAGAACTCTCACAATGTCTTTTAGCAGCAGTCCCATTTGCATCTATCCTAACAAATGGGTCATCATGCCCTTCAACACTCTCAATATTCTTTGAGTTTTTGCCTGGTAATTGTTTCAACTCATCTGCAAGGAGATAGTATTATTTCTAACTTCGCATCAAAGGTTTATATAAAATGCAGGTTAAATTACATACCTGATACACTTATGTCTTCAGACATTGTTACTCCATTTGCATGGATGCGATCGCTTGTCGTAGAAGGTTGCAACAGAACATCAGATTCCAAATTGCCTTCACTAGAAGGTGCAGCCATCAGTAGAGATACAAATTCTCTCGCATCCATATTATATGCAAAGACTAGATCCTTAACCTTGTTGATTTCAGAATTAAGCTTCAGATAGTGGACACTGTCTGGGTTTAAATCATTTGCATACACTCTGCAACCTTTCTGTGCAGCTGGAATACTAAATGGACCAATGCCAGCAAACATGTCACATATGGTCTCTCCGGCCTTGAACTGTGAGACCAGCCTTAGATGCTCATGTTCCAATCTCGAATTCCAATACACCACTCCATAATCAAGCTTGAATGTCGCTCCGTATTGCTTTACCTCGGTTACCATATCACCTTTCCCCGCTAGCACTTCAAACTTTGGAACTCGAAATTCATTTGTGATGCTTCCAACTTTATTGACAATTGTCTGGATTCTGGGGTAATTTTTCTGCAAGAGGAATTTTATTTTTAAAAATCATAAAAAGCCGGTGAATTGCTTTCAACTTAAGGCATATACCAATTATGTTTCTCTATTTTTTTTCTCATGCGAGACACCCCATCCCTTCAGTTTTCGTCAACATTTCGGACAGCAAAATCACATAAAAAGCAGCTCTTTTTTTAGCATTGCAAGAATAGGAAAGATTTCATGAAACAATGAAAAAAAGTCTAAGCAGGAGAAAGAATGAAGAATGAGAATTGTGAAAGCTTAGGATTATGGTGAAAATCTGGTATAGTGGTATGTGCTCACACCTTTCCTATTAGGAGTATATCAGCAGTTCAGCTCACAACGTTTAGTTTATATTATATACACCTATCCCCCAATGAAAAAAAGTGACATTTGATTAAGGTTCACAATTTGCAGTTATAACACAATGTGCCTGTAAACGCACAATTTGCAGCATCACATCAAGGACCTAACGAAATCAACCTTTGTTTTTACACATGTAATGTGCTTGTAAATAGAAATACTCTGTATAAAATTGTAATATATAACACATAAATCTAAATATAGATCAATTGATTGAAAGGGGAAAGGTTGGACATTGTTTACAACCAAAATAATAATAATAATAATAATAATAATAATAATAATAATAATAATCTACCTAGATTTATTGTCATAAAAAAGGCATTTAAGTAAACATACATCATAGATTACTTTTGCAATCACATCCTGGTAAGGAAGAAGCTCGTCAGTAATGTTCAAATGAGCAATATGGCCTGCACACAAATGCCATGTAATCCTAATATTATCAGGGCTCCAAAAATGATAGTTCCAATGCTGCAAGCTTGTAATCCAAACATTAAGTTGACGGGGGGTGGGGGGTAGGCCGAAGAGTTAATGTAGAAGGGCAATGAGGAGCAAAGTAAAACACAGAAAATCGGTACACATTATGAAGTACAGAGTACTTAACTACTGTCTCGAATGAAGATGGAACTTCAAGTCCAGTAGGCAGAATCTGTTTTAGTATATGCTCTGCAATGAAATACTTTAGTAAAAAAATGATACCTTTTAAAAACTAAATTAGGTCAATATGTTATTCTTGGAAGCATGTTTCAGTTTAAGAAAATGATATACTCCACTGTCCAAAATCATCTTCCCACTTTCTACTTTTAGCAATAGCTGTTCCAAAATCATTATCTTCACATTACCTTTTTTTGGAAAATTTATACTATGGAAATGTTACTTTCACCCCTCAACTACCCAACATAAAATCTACCCACGTCTTATTAAATAGTCATTTTCCCCAACAAATAACCCCTCAAAATCTAATTGTCAACCACTCAACCTAGTCTTAAAATTTGTATCATTGTCAAATTGGAATTGGGAAGATCATATTTGGGAAGGTGGGAGTATCATATTAATTAACCAAAGACAAATATATCAAACATGAAGGGGAATGGAAATTCTGTATGTATAAAACGAGTCTTATGTAACCTGCACTCCAATATGAATATCCCAAAGTCAGTGAATAAGGGACAACTTCGATCTTGCAAAGGGCTTTCAGTTCAGCAAGCTTGTGAGCTGGAACTTCTGATAGATCTGTTTCATTTGGGAAAGTAGGTATGTTAGGAAAGGGCTGACATTTCACCACATTGTCTTATTCAACTCATGAAGAAACTTTGGCCATAGTTATATAATGTGTAACTGTCTAGTCTCATCCTCTATTACACATATAGTGTAGCATCATTTACCTGAACTTTGGATGTTTTCAGATAAAATTAAGTAACGGTTCTTTTCACTTGTAGGATCTTCCATTATAGGCTTTATGCGGGGCCTGTTGAGCATATATCTGAAACAGGAGACATGTTCTTGGTCACCAAACAGTCTAGAAACTAATAAACAACAAATAAAACATGAAATGAACTGAAGTAGACAAAGATTCATAATCCATCTACCTTGACACGCTCCCTTTCCAAATCAAACCTAACACGCCCAGTATGTCCCGCTCAAGCATAGTATCTAAGGAAAAAGAAGTGTGCAGACCTTACCTCTACTCCAAGTCTCCAAGGAGTGTGGAGAGCTAGAGGCTGCTTCTGAGAGCAGCCGCCAAACAATGACTCGTAGTGTGAGTGGAAAAACAGTTACTCCATAAAACAAATCCCCCCCCCCACACACATAAAAACATAATCACATAGCACCTATAAGAGCTCTACCACCCAAATAAATAGTATCTAGGAACTCCAATCAGAGGTCATGTCCGAGAAAGGTCCNAAACCTAACACACCCAGTATGTCCGGCTCAAGCATAGTATCTAGGGGAAAAGAAGTGTGCAGACCTTACCTCTACTCCAAGTCTCCAAGGAGTGTGGAGAGCTAGAGGCTGCTTCTGAGAGCAGCCGCCAAACAATGACTCGTAGTGTGAGTGGAAAAACAGTTACTCCATAAAACAAATCCCCCCCCCCACACACATAAAAACATAATCACATAGCACCTATAAGAGCTCTACCACCCAAATAAATAGTATCTAGGAACTCCAATCAGAGGTCATGTCCGAGAAAGGTCCACCTCACCCCACATACTGCAATGCCTCTCTCCCGGATCCTTCAACTAAAAGGCTATATGGTCTATACTCTACTCAATGGTATCTTCTTCACTCGGTCACTCCCTTTCAAAATGGCCAAATTGGAAAGCAAAAAAAAAGTAGTTAAACACAACCCGGTATTTTAGAACCACTCAAAATTACCTGCATTACCTGGGTACACTATATGAACATGTTTTCAGTGTAATAAAGAACTTATTTTTCTCTGAAATATGCTGAAACAATAAAAACAATGGTGTACCCGTTGAATATCCGTGCAGCAATTTTGCAATGTTGGCATGGAATCCGAAGCGCCCACAGATTTAATTGCAAATCAAATTTGCGCTTATCGAACTCCATTGTTTCTGAGCTGCAAAAATGTGAAACAAAAACAAAAAGAAAAAGAAAAGGAGAGAGAAGAGGGTGAAACTCAAATTCTGCAGTCCCAAAACTGGAATGCGGACATCCTATTAAACTTTTTGTAGGGGGGGGGACTCAAAACAGCTAAAGTCGACTTTGAAATAAATACGGGTACTTTTCAGCCTTGAATTACCAAATTAGCTTTCTCCCGTGATATTTTTGAAAAATACCTCAGTAATAAGTAGTTAGTCCACGAACGAGAAGAGAATTTGGGGATAGGGTTGGATTCAGAAATCCGAAGTTGATTGGCCGTCTGGCGAGCAGAGAAGGGTTGAAACAGAATGGTTTGTGAAATCCGGAAGAAATTGAATGGATTCAGAAATCTGAAACAAAAGCGTTGAGAGATAATTGAAGTGAAATCAAAAGTTTTGGGCAGCCATCGCCGGAATTACAAGGCTCTGAGATGAAATCAAATTACTCGTACCTTGGAGACAAAAGAAGGGGCGAGCAGTGCCTGCCGCCGCCGCTAGTGGGTTGTCGTCGCCGGAACGTTTCTACCTCGTTGGTAGTGAAAGCCGTTGTTGCTGCAGGCAGAGTTCCGGCTACGGGAGACAGAGCCGCAGTGCCACTGCCTTGGAGACGGAGATGCGAATCGGACTTCGGAGAAAGGTGAGATACGCGCAAGGTGAGATGGATTTGCCAAAAAATTACTCCCTCTTATCTTTTCACTTTGATTTTTTCTAATTTTTTAAAAAAATTGAAAAAAGTAAAACTTTAACAAAATACCTTTAATAAAAAATTAAAAATGGATAGAGTGTATTAATTGAACTATTGAAGTGAGTGAGATGTAATAAATAAATAAAGTAAGGGTGGTTGTAGTATTTTAAATATTAAAAAAGGTAATGAAAAGATTTATTAGAGACAAATAAAAAGCACTAGTGGGAAGATCTATGGGAGATGGAGAGAGTTCTAGCTTACCATTTTCTCTAATAGCTTACAGATCTCACATTATCGAAAATATATTTCGGGGTACTTTCGATATTTTTTAATAATAACTCTCAAGTCTTATATTATCCAAAATATATTCGGGAGATCCTTAAAGTTAGTGATAATGTATACCGATGGTATATCCTGTCTATTTGCCCATTAAGATTAAAACTTATGTTATTTTGACGAATACTAAATTTTAACTAGAAAATCATTATTTTATTAAATTTAAATAAAATCTGATCTTTTAATTTGTCAAAAGAATAGACTTTTCAATCCAAACGTCGATAAAGACATAATGTACCTTTGGAGTATAATATCACAAATTTTAAAGACCCTGAAGTAGACCTGGCAAAACGGTCGATCAGATCGGGTTCAGTATTATCGGATTTGGGTTATTTCGGGTTCGGATCACTTCGGGTTCGGGTCTAAGAGTGATTGTTCATGATCTAAAATTATCGGGTTCGGGTTAACCAAACGGGTTAAGAGGCATATTTAAAAATTAATTTTTTTTCTATTTAGAGTTCATGTGATCCGCGCATTATTCAAAACAAAGAACAAAATCATAAAAATTGCAGTTCTATTTGCAACATACCAAAAGAAAATTGCAATATACCCAAAAAAATCACATTTTTTCAGCATACCAAAAAATTAAAGTAGATGAAAAAATTAAAGATTCTTTCAACAAACTCAAAAATATATGGGTGGGGTTCCCATGACATTCGAACCCCATGTCATGGGATGACCCGGGGCCGCTCCGGTGCCCCGTTTGTAAAATTGACGATTCCTACCCTCCCGGTAAATCCCCCCATCCCACCCTGACCAGAACACCCCCCAACTCCCTTCAATTACACCCTTCAAGTCATTTTTGACTTTGGAGTCAAATTTTGACTCCAAAGTCAAAATCAACTTGTAAGGTGCAATAGAAGGGTGGGGTGTGTGTTCGGGTCGGGGTGGGGTGGATAGGTTTATCGGGGGTGTTAGGAGGTAGGAATAATCAATTTTACAAACGGGGTACCGGAGCGCTCCCAGGTTATCCCATGGCATTGCCAGGCAATGTCATGGGCACCGTCCCCAAAAATTATAAACATTATTAAAAAAGTTGAGATTCTTGCACCATACAAAAAAAAAATAAAAATAAAACTTGAGTGACACGTAGGAGCAACTGAAGATGATGAAATAGGATTAAAAATTCCACTATTGTTTTTGTGTCTTCTCACCATTTTGATTGAGTCGGCACCTAATATCGTCGAATGGTGGATATGTGTGTGTGTGTATATATATATGAATAGATCTTGACCAGTGGATCTAATGCATCAAACGACTAAGATTTTAAAAGCCTAGATCTTTGGCTTCCGTGTTGTTTATGGTAAAGAACAACACATGCGCACTAAAATAGGGGACAATTAATATCCAGGGCCAAATTTGTAAAAACAAAAATGCATTAAAGTAGCTAATGGGTTACGCCTAAAAATCCGCCATTCAGTAATCCACTCATTGCACGAATAAAATAGCAAGCTTCCAGGATTTCTTTTGAAGTATATAGTTGAAAATGCATCTAATTTAAGAAATGATTTTCAATATCTCACTTTTCCAAACTCATCTCAGAGACGCGTTGTGATTACCAATATCTGCACTGTGACTACCGATACATGCATTGTCGTTTGTATTTTAGATTTTATTTGAATATTATTCTATCAATTCCTGGATTGGCTAATAATGACTTATATGTGATTTTGTATGTTATGAGAAAACATCGGTCCAAAAGGTGGAATCACCCACCCCAGGCGCCCCCACCCCCTTGCCCGACAGGAATGGTGGAGGATGTAAATCATGGTGACTCAGTCGGCCAAGAACGCTAGACCCGTGCCCACCGCGCACAAGGAGCCTCCTCACCCTTTATGGGATTTTTGGATAGCTCCCACACTGCCGCTTGCGGGATTCGATCCCTGGTCATCGGTCGAAGATTTCACGCTCTTGACCAACTGAGCTACCCATGCGGGCATGAGAAAACATGGAAATGGAGGATGGGAACATATATAGTTTCAAAGTTTGTATCATTCATCATTTTTCTTAATAATATTCAAAATGTATCCTTAGACATTTTAAATGCATCATCATTTACAGATTTTTAATTATAAAAGAATGTAGAAATATATCATATTTGTGTCAAGAAGAATTTCACAACTTTGATTTTGAGAATGCAAAGTAATATGATTTCCAGTTGCATCAAAGAACACATGCTTATTAATGGCAAAAAAATCCAAAGGGTATATGTTAAAAAAATACAAGAACTATAAGTTTCTCATTATGTGAGCGCTCTCATATAACTTGTAACTTTGTCAAAACTATGGTGAAGGATAGACGGGAAGAGTACACATTTCAATAAACGAAGTGCACACTTTGATAAACTAAAAGCGTATGTCTACATATATTTCATATTCACGTGTAGAAGTTCAAACTACATGTTACATTAGCATCTTGTACAGAGTGTGCAATAATAAATACTCCCTCCGGCCATGTATGATCTTCCCATTACGCGTTACGAAACTTGACCGACTTTATTTTCAATTCAATTTAATTAATTATAGGAGTAAAATTTTAAAATAAAATTTATATAGTAATAAACTACATGAAAAGTTCTACAAAACTAGAGGTGACAAGAATATATTATTTTATGAAATGACTAGTAAAATTGAGTAAACAAAGTGAGTAAAGTTTGACCCTATGAATAGTGACTGGGAAGATCTATGGTGGAGAGAGGGAGTACCATATTAATAAACCTAATCAATAAAGAAACAATGAAGCACATGACCACATATACATAACCTCACTAAAAATAGTCATAGTGCATCTTAGACTATGACTGTGTCATATCAAAGCCCTCATAATGCATTATTATAATAAAAGAACTTTCAAAGCCTTACATTTTTAAATTTATAGTGCATCATGAACTAGATTACTATAGACTTCTATACAAAATTCAATCCCTAAAAAATACATCCAGAAATTCATTCACATATTGTCACGAAAAAGAACTTCTCATTGACCCTAAAATAATTAAAACCCTACACCCAACAAAATTGGCATCCATTTCACAAATAGCCATAACATTTAAAAGTATTGGAACTTATATTCACACACCACCCATAAAAGGTACAAACGTGTCGCAGTGAACATTCAAAACACATTCCACTGAATATGCTATGCAAATATCTCAACATGCACTTTCATAGGGAACGTTAATTGTGAACATAAATTACAAGCAAAACAACATTTGTGCAAAATAATTATGCTCTAAGAACAAAAGTGCAACACACATTAATCAATATGTTCTTTAAAGCTGAAATAGTAATGCACCAATATCTAATGTCAATGATGGGTTAATATTCCCAATGTATTACATCAATGAAAACATTCAAAATAAATAGGTCGGAAGTAGTTCGTACCATAGACATCTTTGGGGCATTTTATCAAACATGTGGCGTGCGTAGTGTGACCTGGTAAAAAATCAAAGCCCATCAAAGCAGAATGAACCTTAAAATGGTATTAGAATCCATCCTCATCTAAAAAAAGTGAAAAAGGATGAAGTAGAAAAAGTCAATTTTATATAAACAAGTAATTAGCCTTGAGGTCAAATAACCTTTCCGATAAAGAAGTGGAGTAAAAATAAAAATCTAAATCAAAATGAAATCCAATTTTGAGAACACACATGTGTTCTGATATGCTTAGGTGAGTGTCGAGTTTGATCGTGTGGAACATGAATCCTAAAGCCGTTTGAATAGAGACAGAGTCCATTCTAATTGGGCATGGAGGTATTCATAGAGAGTCTATAGCGTAAAAAGAAACTAAATAGTGTTGATGCTGAATAATAGGAAGGGACGTGAGAGAGTAACTGGATCAAGTATGAAAATACATTAGTGCCCTTGAGTTTAAAAAGATAAGGCATCGACAGAGAGATTCATTCTTATTTCTTTCATTAGATCGTTTCTCACCAGAATATATATGTGTGTGTGTGTGTGTGTGTGTATATATATATGTATGTGTGTGTGTGTATGTATGTGTTAGCATATATATTTTTATATACTTCCATGTATGTAGTTATTTCCATGTATGTATTCGGGCTTGGCCTAAGGCCCAACTGATGTGTATTTATATGTTGTGAATATTCAATGAAAAACCAATTCAGTCTTTTACAAAATTCTACATGGTATCAGAGCCAATTTCCCAGCAATTTCTAAAACCCTAAGCTCTGATACCATATAGAATTTTGTGAAAGACTAAATTGGTTTTCCATTGAATATTCACAACATAAAAATACATGTCAGTTAGGCCTTGGGCCAAGCCCGAATACATACATGGAAAGAACTACATACATGGAAGCATATAAAAATATACTCCGTATATGCTAACAATTTGTAATAATATACTCGTACAAACTTTTAAATGAAATGAGTTGAAAAAACTTTAAATTTTTTATACTTATATCAACATTTATCCAATTAGTTATAAACTGAAGAAAAATGCTAGGGGTACACCCTATATGTCCCCCACCCCCTCCTTGTTCACTAAAAAAGGCAAAAAAATTTAAAAAATAAATAAAAATCAAATAAAAATGTGTGATAAAGAATGAAGTGGTGTATATTTGGGGTACACCTTTTGGTGTAGCCATTGCTCTAAACTTAAATATGCCTAGATGACACCTTTTTTATCACCTATAATTAGGATGGTGGGCACCCACAAATTATGTCCTTATTTAATATTCCGTGCAAATACATACATAACTAACATATAAGCATGCACGCCCCGGAAATCAGATCCTCTTTGATATTTGAACCGTAACAATGTTCATTGAATTTGTTTTGGTCGGCCGTTGACGTGTACTCCTCGGTAGAGATAATAATAATAATAATAATAATAATAATAATAATAATAATAATAATAATAATAATAATAATAATAATAATAATAATAATAATAATAACCACAACAACATTAATAAACCACAATTTTTTTATTCAAGCTATTTTAACCTTAGAAGTTAGAATGAGTCAAGACATCTATAACGTCCCGTTAGTAAAATTGATGGTTTCTATCCCTGACTTCCATATCCTACAACCATGAACCCCAACCCCACACCCTCTTAGACCACCACCGATTTGGCCTTGCAGGCCAAATCAACTAACGATCTGGGGCGAGAAGGTTTTAGTGTGGGGTTATGTAGTATGATCCATCAATTTTTCCAATATAGCACCGCAGGTGCTCCAAAATGCCTAGGTCATTCTAAGGTCGTTTTTTGGACCATGTCAAAAGAACCTTATTACCGACATTAATATTCAAATTATTACTGTAATAATATTACTCGGGGTACATTATATAATTATCAAATCAAATCGGAAACTTTTCATTGAGTGAGTAAATAATTAGACCATTTAAATGATTTTCTTATCACTTTAAATTGACATGTATTGTCATTTAATTAATTCTCATATGAGAATATATATGCATATCAATTTGAGAATGAATAATAATAAAAGTTAGGAGGAGGAGGAGGGAGGCAGAAGGTTGGCCACGTAGGGTGACTAAGAGCCTCAAGTACATTCACAAGTCGTCTCTCGATCACATAATTAATTATATGTTTTCTTGGAATTCAAATGATTTGCTGTTGTAGATGGCACCCGTACATGGAATCCCACCCTCTCTTAACTTGTTTAATTGAGATTAAGAGGATGCTTATTATTATTATGCTCCAATTCCGCCCACTAGCTATACCAACCTTATATGCATATATGCCTCTTCTTCACTTCACCATGTTTGATTGCCTAACAACCCCTTGTCTCTTTATCTTATCCATCTTTTTTTAACCTTTCATACAATTTTGGTGTCGACTTGTGCTTGTATGAACCAAATTATACATGTGAAATGTGAACTTTCTTACACCAAGTTATACATGTGAAATGTGAATTTTCTTACACAAAAGTTCATAAAATGAGCGTAAACCTTAGGATCACTGAAGAATTTGCCTTTGGTGTTAATTGTTAGTAATTAGCAGGCCATATACTATGGTGAAGATTGACGAGGTTTGATGAGGCTTTATGAGGTGACACGTAAGTGCTTCGATTCGTAAGCGAGTGTACGGGTTAAAACATGTGCTATGAGACTTGAAATGTGTGTAGGGGGGATAATGAGGGTTAAGTTGGTGAAGGTGTGATTATTTTGATTGGTTGAAAATACAAAAAATTGCTTCAAAAAATTAAAAAAAATACAAAAATCGAGGCAATGCCTTAGACCACCATCACTTTTTAGGGGTGTCACACCTGGGTCGCGCCTAGTGTGTTGCGTTTGTCACACCTTGACACAGCGTGACAACCAATTATCTATCTCGGGTCACGCCTCATAAGTTTGTTCTCTTCTTATATATAAATATGTACAAATTACACAAAATGTTAATTCAAGTTCATTGATGGGTTCATCCCATGCCCGGCGGACGATTCAGACAAAACAGAAGAATGGTGGATCGTGAACGCGATTCTCATTTCACGGATCTACAACACCATTGAAACACATCTACGTAACTCCATCACCCAAGTGGAAGTTGCTGTAGACACGTGGAACGTTATCAAGGCTAGATTTTCCGTGGCGAATGGCCCACGAGTCCATCATCTGAAAAAAGAACTAGCATATTGCAAACAGAATAGTCAAGAGATCATGAAACATTATGACCAATGGAAAGCCATATGGGACGAACAATATGACCTGTTGAAAGTGCCTGCTTGCAAGTGTGGACTCACTGTGCCGTTAGAAAAATAACATGACAAAGAAAAGGTCCATCAATTTTTGATGCATGTGTCTTGACAACGAAGGTTATGTAAGCCTTCGCTCAAATATCTAGAGTATTGAACCTCTTGCGTCAATCAATCACGTTTATTCCATAATAACGCAGCAGGAAGGGGTGCTGAAGATGACCGTGGAAGAAGAGCGAAACCTGGTGAGTTTCAGGGTTTCGTCAAGAAGACCCACACAAGACAACAGTCTCAAATGCAAACATTGTGGAGAAATAGGACAAGAAATCAGTGGGTGTTTCCAAATCATAGGTTACCCTGAATGGTGGGCAGACCAACTGTGTGTGTGCAAGGTGGAGCCCGCGGAGGTGGCTAGGGCAGTGGGACGACCCAAGGCAGGAGGCACAACAGAAGGGGGCGGTGCACCAGCTGGACGCGGTGCCGGAAACTGCACGGACAAGACACTAACTGATAGTGCCGGAAATTGCACAGCAACTGATAGTGCACCCTTCACTGATAGTGCACCCATATCATTCTTCGAGTTTCTCTAATTTCTTCTAATTTTTTTAGTTTCTTCTAACATACTCCCTCCGTCCCTAAATAAACTTTTTCTTTCGTTTTGTCTTTGTCCCCAAATAAACTTCTCTTTTCCCTTAAAAAACCCCTTTTACCCCTTACTTTTTTATATCCTACATATCACATCATACCTTTTTACATATCACATCTTACTTTTACACATCACATCAAGGGTATTTTTGAGAAATCAACACAAAAATATCCCTCCCTTAAATCCTCAAAAAGTCAAAAAGAGAAGTTTATTTAGGGACGGAGGGTGTACAATTTTTTTTTCAAGTACTAAAGAAGATGTTCTTAGTGGTGACTTAATGAATGAAGACTCACAATATTCCTCTAGCTTCATTAATCACTAAGGGCATCAGTAACGGGAGGAAAGAATGGGAGAATAGGATGACGTGGAAGAAAAAAGATGAGAAAAATGATTAGAAAGAGGAAGAGAACAAATGAGATAGAGAGAATTATGGTTTAAGGAATTTGAAAGGGAAAAGAAAAGAAAATGAAGTGGAAAAATGTCTTTCTTGTTTGGTTAGAGGGGAAAAGAAAGGAAAAATGGAAGGAAAAGAAAATGAGAAGGCAAAATGTACCAAGTGGAGGGAAAACCAAATTCCTTCCATTTTGGTGAAGAAAATGAGAGAAAACCATTTTCTTTTCTTTTTCTTTCAAATTCCTTGAACCAAACATAGTGTTGGGGAATAATATTCACCTAGAAAGAGAAGATATGTTATTCGGCAATTGTGTTTTTATTTTTTTCTAATTTTTGGTGCAAATGAGAAGATGGCATGTGGATTCTTTATTGAATTAGGGAATGATTAAAGCAATTTTGGGAAAGTTAAGTAGAATAAAGGATGTAACATTGAAAGTAGATATAAGATGTGAGAGAGAAATATAGTGAAACTCCAAAATACTCTTCCATGCAGAAATATTCTTCCCGTCTTGACTTGACCCGTTAATTTTAATTTGAGGGTGAATTAATTTGGAGTGGGTACATTATTGATGTCAAGTAGGGAGAGTGTTATTAACATTTAACATTAAAAAATAAGCTAAAAAATGAGAAGAATGTTTTCAACCTTTGGGAGAAAAGAAAAGAAAAAGGACAGTTTCGGATTAATCATTAACTAATGGTTCATTATCATCCTCCCGCGCGCTTTTCAGTTCTTCTCATCTTGAACATTCTTCGGAACAATAATCTGATACACATCTCCTGTCTCCACACACGAGCACAAAAAGTTCTTTTTTTTTTCTTTTTTTGAAATACGAAAAGTTTGTTTTAATAAAAAAAACAAACAAAAACTAGTCCAAAACAAAGAGGCCAGGTAGAATATTGCAAAGAATAGACACATACAGCAGTCCACATCATCCAGATGAAAAGATAAAAAAATGAATTCCATTTCTTGTTTTTCACGTGCTCATTATTCTTTATTCTGAAAAGTAGCCTCCAAATATGTACAAATATTAGTCAACCCATATATTCTCTACCTTATTATCTTAAAAAGAAACAACAACTGCAAAAAAGAAATTAAAACCCACGAAGAGCCTGCAGGCTTCCATGCACGTGCGTAATTAATTAATTAATTAAGGTTAATTAAAAACTAGTTACGTACTACATTAGTACATACTAATTCTTTGATTTCACACGCGCGCGCACACATATATACAGACATGATGACACACACGTACGTACAAACCACATAGGTAATTAAATTAAACATTATGTTAATTACACGATTTCTTCAAACAAAACAAATGATGCCCTTGCCAAAACCTCCACATTTGGGTTTCAAGACACATCCCAAACATCCAAATCATTCATACAATTTGGCCTAATTACAATTAAGTTGGCGGTTCCGTATTTCCGAATCGGGTTCCAGATGATAAAAACTACGTACGTGCTCACCCCGTCTCGGTGCAACTTAATTAGCTTAGTTACACACAACTTTACGCTTCCGATAATCCAAATGATTATGTATTAATCCTCCTTGGAACTCCAAATCAATCTCCATTTTTATTAATATTATCATACATAGATATATTTGAAGATTTATATATATATATATATATATATAAGGAAAAGAAGAAGAAGAAGAATGAATTCCAATTCAATCGGGTTGGGAATAGTTTTGCCAGCAGAGAAGCATGACGACGCAGCGCCGGAGGATGTAAAGCTTCGTCTTGTACTGCTTCGTCATGCTCATGCACCGCTTCCGGAAGCTGCTTTTCCGGTGACACTCCGCTGTTGAACTGCTCAACATGTAGCTTGGAACCATGTATGGCGGCCGGCGCCGGCGCCGGCGGCAATTGATATATATATATGGTATGTATATATGTGTGTGTGTGTTTGGTTGTGTATATAATATAGCCTTCGGTGTGTATATATATTCAGCTGGGTGATGCGTGGTGGAGTTGGAGAAGAGGGATCATGATATATATATATATATATATATATATATATATATATATATATATATATATATATATATATATATATATATATATATATATATATGAGAGGGGCCAGAGATGGGGCCATGCTGTGAACCCATTGTATAGACTTTAGACATCACATCCTCAACAACCGGAAGCCAAGTCTTTGAGGCTCTAATTTAAAGCCACAAGTTATGCTACCCCTTCCATTAAAAAAAATCAGTTTTAAATTTTAATGACATTTTTTGACCATTGGTAATAAAAAAAATATTTAAACATAATGTAAATTCAATATAAATAGATTCGTGTAAAATATAGTAGTTTAATTTTAATTTATCAAATTCTTATAATATTTATTTATTTATATTATATTTAATTTAAAGTTAAAGAGTGTTGACAGAAATATTAAAACTAGAAGGTTTTTCAAGAACGTGGGGAATATCACTCTGTAATTTGTTTTTATTTTTAAATTGATTTACATTATAAAAATATAATATTTCAAAATTATGTTTGAAAATGAGTTTATCAAAAGATAACTTATTTCACAATTCATTTTATTTTTCTGTAATTTTTAGTGAAGATTTAAATTATTTGATGTTAAAAGTCAAATGAGGAAGATCCAAAAGTGACGAAAAGAGTACACAATTAATAGATAACAAAATTTCTCTCTTCTTAACCAATTCTAATCATAAATTTTTCACCTTACAACATTTTTCATTTTAATTTTCGTGAGATTCAAAGTCAGAAATTTTCTATGAGAAAACGAGGGCACTTTGATAACAAATTATATTATTTGTGCCCTTAGGCAACGAAATTTGATGGAATTTCAAAATAAAATTAATATACTTTATTCGTCCACAAATATATTTTTTGATTTCACTAGATATATGTACTCCCTTCGTTTCAATAAATCATTCTTATTTTGACTGTTAGCCAAAATAAAGAATGTATATTTATGGTAGACTTTCCTTTTTGCCTTTGATGTGATGAATATTATTAGTTAGATGAGATGCATAGATTATTAATAAAAAAATTATGATATGATAGGTAGGATAAGAAAAAGTATGGGTAAAAGTGGTTTTTTAATATAAAGTGGAAGTTCTTTGGAAAAAGATCGATAAGAAAATGAAAGATGAAATGTTTTAAGAAATAGAGGGAGTAGATTTTCTTATAGTGTTATTAACTCTATTACAAAGCAATATCTGTTCATACTATTCTTTTATCTGCCTAAAAGCCAACACTTCCGCCTCCGCTAAGACTCAAATCTGAGTAGGTAAATTTCTTCATAAGTGAGTTTCTTAGAAAGAAGTTTCCAGACATTAGGGCTGAGCAACGGTCGGTTTCGGTTTGAAACCGAAAAAACCGACTTTTTTTAACATGGTTGAAAACCGACCGAACTGAACCAACCATAAATTAAAACCGACCGAACCGAAACCGAAAACCGCCCATACATAAAAAACCGACCGAAAAACCGAATTCTAATTACTTTTATTTTGATTTTTTAATATAAATTCAAGAAACTAATTCGGCAAGGTAGATTGATATGTATTAAATTAGTTTAGATTAAGACTTTTCTATTGTCATTGATTTAGTAAGGTAGATTAATTTTTATTTGAATATACACTATCCATTTCATATAAAAATTGCACTTTTCTTATTAATATGTTCAAAACATTAACAAATAATTTTTAAAAAAGTGAAACATTATAGTTTTCCATGAAAGAGTAAAAAGAAAGCATGCGTGTTAATCAAATATTTTCTTATTTTAAAAAATAAAAAATAAATTAAAATAAAATTATCGGTTATTCGGTCGGTTCGGTTTTTCTTACAAAAAAAACCGAAAACCGACCGAAAAAGCGAAAAAACTGAAAATAATTTTTACATGAAAACCGAAACCGAACTTCCGGTTATTTCGGTTTTTGGTTTCGCGATCGGTCCGGTTAATTTGCTCACCCCTACCAGACATGAGGGAGTATGATTTATGTATGGTGAAAATTAGGCTGACATTCTTAAAAATCTTCCCCTCACCTTTTCAATTACTCTGCACCAGGCCACCATCAATCGCCACTATAAGGTTGACTCTGCCACCAAATAAGGGTTTGTCTATTTTAAAAAACTTTTGTATTTACACTCTTCTTTTATCCCGTGAAACATTTCCCCTTTTTTTTTATCCGTCCCACAAAACACTTCTCATTTTTATTAAAAAGTCACTTTTACCCCTTACTTTTTCATACCCTAACTATCACATCATACCTTTTTACTAATAATTTATCCATCAAATCATACTTTAACCATCACATCAAAGGACAATTTAGGAAATTCAATATCAAAATACACTCCTTTAAATCCCTCCTAAAAAGCAAATGTCCCATGTTTCACGGGACGGAGGGAGTATTAAATTTTAGGGTTGGATTTAGAAGAAATTTGAAGAAGTTGAAAAATACTGGAAGAAGTTAAAAATGTTAGAAGAATTAAAGTTTTAAAGAGTCATTCAATTAAATGATCACCTAAATAAATATGTAAGAAAACTCTAATTTTGGATAAATTTGAATACATAATGGCATTGTATGTTCATCATATGCAAATATATTTTTAAGTCGTTGTTGGAGGAAACTGAAAGAAGTTAAAAATGTTAGAAGTTGATTTTTTCAACAAAAAAAGAGCATAGCCTTAGTAAACATCATTCTTGGTTGACAAAATTTCTCTCCTATTAACGAATTCTAATCATGCACTTTTACTTTTTAATTTCTTAAACTCTCTAAAAGTCAAACTGAAAAGTTTTCAAATGAGATAGAAAGTACTTCCATACCAAATAAATTAATTGACCCCTTAAAGAATACGAAATTTGATGTAGTTTATTTTTTTCCAATTTATTTACCCTGTAAATAATACTAACATAATTTCAAAATAAAATTAATATACTTCCTCCATCCACAAATCTACTCATTCTTTCGCTCAATCTCTTCTTGCTTCCAAAGGCACTGATGTTGGTCCATTCAGGACTATGGCGGCATAGGTGATGGAGCACGGCTCTCTGCATTCATTAGAGTTATAACTAGGAGGTCACGAGTTCAAATTTTACCATCACTTAATGTGAAATTTGCACTAAATGATACTAAAATATACTCCCTCTGTTCTCAAAAACACTTCCTCTTTCATTTTTTCCACTTCCAACAAAACACTTCCCTTTTCTATTAAAAAACCACTTTTACCCTTACTTTTTTATACTCTATCTATCACATCATACTTTTTCTCTAATAATCTATCCATTACATCTTACTTTTACCCATCACATCAAGGGCAAAATTGGAAATCAACTATAATTTAACACTTCCTTATTTTTGCCCCAAATCAAAATGGGAAGTCTTTTTGCAATGGAGGGAGTATATCATTTTTAAATATAATACTTAATTTTTTATACTCTAAATAGTACTTTAATAATGTCTAGTGGCAGAAACAATGTCCAGTGATGATGAACATTTAGTACGAACAATGTCCAGTGGCATTAGACATTTACTTGGACAATGACCAGCGGTACTATATTAGGAAATGAGAAAGTCATTATGTTTTAGTACTATTTAAGTAAATTCCTCCCACCTAATTTTAAAAATTTAATTTTCACATGCAAGGTGTGAGCAAAAAACAAATATCATATGAACGTGAAGTGACATGTTAAAGTAAAAGACCTTTTCTAGGCCTATAACCAGAAAGTTAAACTTATGATTAGGTTGATTTTTTGACAATATTCTCCCTCGTCTCTGATTAAACTCAAATAATGGAACTCAATTTCACCGAGCTATAATATCACGGCGTCTCCTCTAAAAAATTATAGAGTATCTTGTATAATGATACTCCCTCCGTCCGGGAATGATGTTCCCACTCTACGTTTTTTTCGTCCGGAAATGATGTTCCTATTCTACTTATTTTTTACCATTCTTCCAATACTACCCTCTTCCTCTTCTTTCTTTCTCTTTTTTTTCTTCCATTGTTTCCTTCGGTTGACTTCTTCCTCCTTATCTTTTTCTTTTTTCCTCTTTCATTCTTTCCATTCTTTCTCTTTTTTCCCTGGTTTCTTCCATTCGTTTTCTTCTCTCTTTCACTGATCCTCCTCCTCCTCCTCCTCCTCCTTCTTCTTCTTCTTCCCCTGCTCTTAACGTTAGCATTTTCAAAGTAATCTACACCGTTAAAATTTTATCCAAAATGCTAACGCTATTCCCAAACAGGCCCGATATCTCTAGATATAACAAACCCTCTAAATGGAAGATTTTCATATCTCCCAAATTTTAAAGCTATCGATATGATATTTTGATATTTTTTTCTCAACCATCAAACACCTCATACTATCGGTTGCCTCCCACACCGCCAACCACCCTGTTGCCACCCACCAACACCTATTGCTAATTAAATCATGATTACAAATCAAAAAAATTATCCATAATAATTCTAATTTCACTCGATCTTTCAAAAATAATCACAACTTTTACTGTAATATATAATAATCTCAATTTTCCTAAAATTTACGAGTTTTGGGTCGCCGTTAAGTTTTTAATGGCGAGTTAACGAAAACGGCCTATTTTGGGCAACAAAATGTAAGTTGAGATTATTTTTGATGAATTTTCTTTTTTCTTTAATATTTTTTTTTGAAATTTTCATTTTAATTCTTAAGATGACTTTCTACCTATATCATTTCTTTTTCTTTTTTTAAAGATTAGTCCAACTTTGGGAAAAAAAATAAAAAAGTACATATAAAAAATAAAAAAATTATAAAAATAACTAAAACCATATAGACTTAATGAAATAAATATGGTAATTAATAGAAATGAAACAGAA